ACACACACACACACACACACACACACACACACACACACACACACACACACACACTCACACACACACACACACACACACGTGCGCGCGCGCATTCTCAAGATAACTTGCTCTCATTGGAAAAAAGAATGAGGGGAATTAAAAAAAAAAAACAGAGCGACAGCCGCAGGCATCCTGATGCCAATAAGGCAACACCAAACCGAGACACGTGTCGCGCTGCTCATCACCACGCTCGTGCGCGACCGACCATCCTTCCTTGCCAACACTCGCACACTCTCCCAATCCAAAGGAATTTTTTTTATTATTTTAACGGATGTCCCAAAGAACTTCCCGGAGAAGGCAGAGGAAAAAAGGAAAAAAAAAAAAAAAGACACGAGTCCTTTGGGACATCCGTTAAAATTATTTTTAAAAATCCCTTCAAAAAATAAAAAATGGCAACATAAAGAGAAGGTTGATTAGCATCATGCCCCCTGCACCACTCACACCAAATGTGCGAAAATGCAGAATGCATCTTCCGGTAGAACGTGGCAAGATACACCTGCCAATTCCGCCGTGAAGTTTTCTGTCTTTTGCACATATATTGAGCGGTGCGCCGGGCCCCCCCCCCTTACACTGTTTTTTTTTTTTTCCTTATTTTTTCCTTTTTTAATCGTACTCAGTCATCTAACGGAAAATTTCCCATGACGTCCTTCGAGACGGGACATTCGTTGAACTTGGACTCTTCGAACTATACACAGAGATTGATTAGCATGGCCCCTGCGCAAGGATGGCTGACACGCAAAAATCGAGAAATGGTCCAAATTAATTTTTTAAAAATAAAAAAAGGAGTTCCCAACGGAAAAAACGTTTCTAACGGAACGGAACGGAACGGAACGGAACGAAACGGAACGGGACGTGAACGTTAGTGTCTGATATCATCATCATCATCATCATCATCATCATCATCATCATCATCCAGTTCTTCCTCCTCAGACTAATCATCATCATCACCATCATCATCATCATCATTATCATCATCGTCATCATCATCTTCATCATCATCGTCTATCATTATCATCATCATCATCATCATCATCATCGTCATCATCATCATCATCATCATCGTCTAGTTCTTCCTCCTCAGACTAATCATCATCATCACCATCATCATGACCACCGTCATGGTTATGATTTTTATTTTATTTATTTATTTATTTATTTATTTATTTATTTATTTATACCGTAATGGTCATCACAACCACACTGATCGAAACGGTTCGGCGGTAATCACACTTTGAAGTCCTCCCACAGAATCTGCCTTGAATCACGGGCAGATAATTTCAAGAAGGAAAAAAAAAAAAGAGAAAAAAGGAGTAAAAATGAAAGTCCACGTGAGAGATACCATTATTGTTCGGGCCTCGCTCCACTACATAACACTCTACATGCATTTTGGACGCTTTCTGGACCAGGTGCATTTCATTTACGTGATACTCTACATGCATTTCGACGCTTTCCGGACCAGGTGCATTCCGACGACTCCAACATTTTGAAGGTATCCGGTCCAGAAAGCATCTAAATGCATGCGGAGTGTAGTTTAGCGGAGCGACGGCGTTCTTATCGTTTCAGATTATTCTTTGAGGTGTTGGGAGGAGGAGATGGCACACGGTATACAGTAGCAATTTTTTTTTTTTCCTTTTCTTATTCCTTCTTTTACTTTTTTTTCCTTTCCCTTTGTTTCCCTTTGCTTCCCTTTTTTCCATTTTTCCTTTTTTTTCCCTTTTTTCCCTTTTTTCCTTTCATCTCCTGTTTTTCCTTTTTTTTCCTTTCATCTCCTTTTTTTTCCTTTCATCTCCTTTTTTTTCTTTTATCCTTTTTTTCCTTTGTTTCCTTTTTTTCCTTTTTGTTTCCTATTCTTTTCCTTGCTTTTCCTTGTTTTTCCTTTTTTTCCTTTTTTTTCTATTGTTTTCCTTGCTTTTCCTTGTGTTTGATGGAGTGGAAAGAAAGGTACAAGGGGCGTCTTTGCTTTGGATGGATGTCTGAGTGGTTGAAGGTATCAGTCTTATCTAGATGACATGATGGGTCAATTATTTGCTTTATTCTTCTTTGGAAATTTTCCATTTTTTTCCAATTGTTTTCCTTTTTTTCCTTTTTTTCCTTTTTTTTTCAATTGTTTTCCTTGTTTTTCCTTTGTTTCCCTTTTTTCTCCTTTTTTTCCCATTCTTTCCGTTTTTTATTCCCTTTTCTCCCTTTTTTTTTTCCTTTTTCTTTTCACTTTTTTTCATAAAGTGGCAATCTCTTAGCTGCCGCTAATGCGAAACAGGGAAAAAAAAAAAAAAAAAAAAAAAAAAAAAAAACCAGGGACGATCCCGAACATGCGGACTAAGATTCGAACACACACCACACGTCCCTCACCGAACGCGATGTGGACTGTTTCAAAATGAATGTGGTCGGAATCCGGACGATATTCTTGCCTCGAATAATACCAAGATACGCGCTGCGTACTATTCCCCCATCGTTTCTCCTCCTTTCCACATGGCGTACAGGTGTCGGACTGTCCTTGATGTATATGGATTTATCTACGTCCACATTCATTGCACAAAATCCTTGCGTGAGTACGCCCCTTAACCCGGAGACAATTCAAAAAAAAAAAAAAAAAAAAAAAAAAAAGAAGGCAGAAGGGAAGATGGGGGAAAATGTGAAGCCGCAAAGAGGTGGCAGAGCGGAGAAGAAGAGAAGAGGGAGAGGAGGAGGAAGGAGGAGAGTGAGGAGGGACCGAGGGAGAAAGAGAGGGGAGGGAGAAGAGGAGAAAGAGAAGGGAGAGAACTCACTACGTTGCCACGCTGCGGTACCCAGCGCATTCCCGCTGTACTGCCTACACCTCTTCCAGAGGTGGCGCTTGCAGGTTTGGGAGGGCAAGGAACCACGGCCAGACATTGAGCCTCGCCCCACTACTCTCGACGTGCACAAAAGACAAAAATCATGGCGGTGCATCTTTCCATCTTCTAGGGGAAGATTCACTCTCGTTTTGCACATTTCGAGAGTAGTGGAGCGAGGCCCATTGGGCCGCGGAGGCGAGACTCGGGGTGCAGAGATGGGTTGGGCTACCGTGGGTACATCACCCTGTCCCCCTCGTGCTACCAGGGCCGTGGTCCCACTAGCGAAGGGGATATGATAGAAATCCTGAATCTGGCTATGTTCTATGCAGAGGTACAGAAAAGCAGTTCGATCTCGATTTCCTGCTCCTGTCCTCAAACACGTCCAGATTCAGGCATTCAATCCGATGCTCTTTGCTACTGGGACCACGGCCCAGGGGTCTCGGCACCACATGTATGGGGTATAGTTCTAGAAAACTACACTGTGTGACGCGGAAAGGAGGGAAAAAAGAACCTGGACGCTCGGTTGTACTTCCAGTGCTAGTGGGGATTGGAGGGAGCGTTTTTTGTCCCGCAGGAACCTTTGTTCCAGTGCCCGCTTTAGGAGCACTGAGGACTCAGTGCCTTCATCATTTGTTTGGCAGGGGGTTGGTCCCCGCGGGTCTTGACCCCTAAGCTAAACTGGGTAATGCTCCCAGCCTCTGGGTAGACTGTGATGACCCGGCCTCGTAATCAGTTTATAAGGGACGTTGGGCCCGGTTCCCAACACACACAGCTCCCCACGAATACCTCCCCCACTGTTGGGAAATTACGTGATGCTGGCCAGTACCCGAACTTTTCGGGGGTCGGACACAGGGTCGGCAATGTCCCATAAATCGTACTTTTCTTTTGCCCGAGCACGAAAGGAAAAGGAAAAAAAAAAGGCCTTCGTACTGCAATTATGTCGGGCAGGGTAGTCTAGGAGGCCGTCTTCACTGTCTTAAATGTATCTCACAACAAAGACGGTCACGTTCTGAAACTTGTTGTTTTCTCTTTTTATTTCTCTTTTGTTTGTTATGTGTCCTCTGCCAAACGAGGCAGGGCGGAATCCGTGATCTGCTCTAGCTGTGTTTCCTCAGATGATTGTAACCTTGATGTATCCAACCGTTTTCAAGCCCGAATCCGTGTTTTCGTTTTTTTTTTTTTTTTTTTTTTTTTTTTTTTTTTTTTTTTTTGGAATTTGACAATCTGAAACCGTGATCTGCTCGAGCTGTGTTCCCTCAGAGGATTGTAACCCTGATCACACTGACACTTACGGGAATGTATCTTGCTATTTTCACGGGCGAATCTGTGTTTCTGTCTTATTTTTTTTGTTTTGAGTTTCTGGAATTTGATAACCTGGTCACGGGGCTGAGATGCCCTCACTGAGGGCACACTCACACTAACACTTCCGAGAATGTATACAGCTGTAATCACGCCCAGAGCTTTGTTTCGTTTTTTTGTTTTGTGAGTTTTTACGGCCGCAATTTTTATTTTTTATTTTTTTCCCGTGAGAGTACCATAAAGAAATGGAGTGGGACCCAAGCTCAACAAAACTCGGAGCACAGTGGGGGAAAAAAAAAAAAAAAAAAAAAAAAAAAAAAAAAAAAAAAAAAAAAAAATCAGCGGCCCAGCTCTGTCTGTAAGGCATGCAAGTGGCATTCAGGAGGTATTGGGTTCAATCCCCAGACCAACCTTCCTAGGCGATCTTGGCGTCTGCCACCTGGAGATATGTCGTTGGTGCCCCCGAGTGACATTGAGCAGAGACTGATAATCTTCATAGGGGGAGGAGACCACCACCGGAGGGGAGACAGAGTGACTGACCCATCAAAAAAGCTCGGTGCTGATGCAACCGGCTTACCCCTGGTCAGTATCACTCACCTACTGTAGCAGGTATGACACCTGTTGGTGGGTGGGGCTCCCGCATATTCCCTCGTTCAAGTTGGATACTTCAACACGGATGTACCCTCCCTCGTATTCCCTCGTTGGGGGCTTGAGCACGGATGTGGTTGGTACAGGGTTCCCCGTAATACTATAATGACAATAAAAAAGGTCTGAAAGGTTGTCGTAACCAGACCTGGGGTACCGGACCTAAAAGGCTGACGCCGCCAGCCAAAATAATTTTTTTTTGTTTTGCTGACGACTCGGCGTAAAACGGGTCGCAGGGCATATTCAGGCTCGGCATCGATAGTTGGCCCAAGTACTGATGGTTTAAACCACTAGTACTTCTGCCAGTGTGGGGAAATTACGAGTTTAAGCATGTTCCCGAATAGTTTGGGGGTGGGACCCAGGGTCGGCAAATCCCATAAATCTGAGTTTTTTTTTGCCCGCACGTGAAAGGAAAAGGAAAAGGAAAAAAAAAAACTTTATATATTGCGATGATGTCGACGAGGGTAGTCTAGGAGGTCGTGCTCACAGTCTTCCTCTACAGAATGCATATTACAGCAAAGACAGTCACATTTTAAAACTTGATGTTTTCTTTTTTTTCTTTCTCGTTTGTTTGTTATGAGTACCCTGCCGACGAGGCAGGGTGAAATCCATGATCTGCTCTAGTTGTATTTCCTCAAAGGATTCTAACCATGATCACACCCATGGTCAACAAGTCACATAAATCTTAGCTTTGTTTTGCCAGTGCGTGAAAGAAAAATGGAAAAAAAAAAAGTTTTATGTACTTGAATGATGTCGGGCAGGGTAATCTAGGGGGTCGTACTCACAGTCTTCATGTATATAATGCATCTTATAGCAAAGACGGTTGCATTTTGAAATTTGTTATTTTGTTTCTTTTTCCTCGTTTGTTTGTCATGGAAACCCTGCCGACGAGGCAGGGCGGAATCCGTGATCTGCACTAGTTGTGTTTCCTTAGAGGATCGTAACACGGATCACACTGACACTTAGAGGAATATATCCAACTATTTTCACATTCGAATTTGTATTTTTTTTATTATTTTTTTTCTGAAATCTGACAATCTAAATTTGTGATCTAATCAAAATGTGTTTCCTTAGAGGATTGTAACCTTGATCACGCTGACACTTAGAGGAATGTACCTAGTCATTTTCATAGTCGAATCTTTGTTTTTATTTTTGTTTTTTTCGTCCCTCACTGAGGGCAACCTCACACTACCACTTCCAGTAATTTATATAACTTCAATCATGCCCAAAGTTTTTTTTTTTTTTCTTGTTTTGTGAGTTTCATGGCCGCAACTTTTTTTTTTCCTGTGAGAGTACCATAAAGAAAATGGAGTGGGACCCAGGATCGATAAAACTCGGAGCGCAATGAAATTCAGGGTTAGCAAAAACATGCTCAAAGGTACGAGTGGTTTAAAAATAGTTAGCCTTAAACCACCACTACCTTTCTCAGTGTTGGGAAAAACGGGAATATACGTCACACCGCATTTATCGGGGGTCCTGAGAAGGCTCGGACAAAATAAAGTGTTTGGGCCTTGTGAGTCTGTACACAAAAAAAAAAGGACAAAAAAAAACGTCACTGTGGGGAAAAAAAGGACATCGGGGTAGGCCCTAAAGGTGGTGTGTTGACATCAATGCTTCAAGGAAC